TCCCCACGAATAGTTCTTCGCGGTCTGCGACTGGAAATGCGGTTTCTCCTCCCTCGGTGACGTTGTTTAAGAAAAACAAAATGGTGATGTACCTAGACAAAGTGAAAATCGGAAAATGAGTTCTTTGGCAATATGGGACGATTAGGCGGGGAGGGGGGCGGGTGGAAAAATACTTACACAAGCATAAAGCGTACATTCCTTGCCCTTGGTAAAAACTTATTTAGAGTTGTAACCGCGATATAAGGGCCTCGCCGAGGGGAGACGCAAGTAGTTCCGTAAAAACTTGCAATGGCTGGCTTGACGCAGTTGCCTTTATCCGCCTGTTCGCAAGTTGCGTTGACTTTCTATTTTTGTTTCTCCCCAGGGCCACCCCCTTCTGCTTTTTTTAAACCCCCTGTGGTTAATACTCTGCTAATTGCCATCTCGACAAACTCAAGAAGAAATACAGGCGAATGAATGACTGAATGAATGAAAGACTGGTGGTCACGTTTAGCATCTCTAGCCTACAAAACAGTCGCATTTTTACATAGCTTTGCAATATCTTTCCCACTCGCTTCCACTGCGTCTTGTTTTAAACTAGAGATTATGATATTCTCTTGCTTTAAGTTAGAGATCCTGTAAAATCACCTGCATAAAAGACACGTGCTTTTGTCGATGTCCTCATATTTCCCGCAGCATCTCCTCTCGATCGTCTCCTTACTCACAGTAGAGTCATAATGAGCGTGGTAATGTCCACCTCGTTGATATTTCACAACCTGTGAAAAGACAAGCTGCATCACTGAAACATTCGGCAACTACAGTACCTACAAAGTTTGTCAAACGCTTCCGTAGTTCGTCAAACTGCAACGCGGTCTAACAAGTTTTGGGGTGCCAGAGGATTTCTTGTTCTTTTACGCTATGGGCGGTGAACCTGCTAAAGCGTCTGGGCCGCCTTTGCTAAAGCGTGATACGTCGCTTAACGCAGATCGTGACTTCGCCACTAACAAAACCTGTGTGACCCAGGGTACCCGGCCGGGTGTAAAATATTCATTCTTCCCCCGGTATTCTTGGCTATACTTTTTCAGGCTACTACCACCGTTTCAACGCTAAACCCTTAAAGAAATTGGGCTGTGAGCGGGAATCATGCCACGGCTACAGGAAGAATGCAAAGCTGTATACATGCACTTCATAGGTACAATTCCGCGCAGTGCAACGCGGGAGTGCAACGCGGCTGCTGCGACGTAAAATTTGCAACGTGTCGCAATCGTAGAATCAAATTTCATCAACAGAATGAGGTCTTTATGTCTATGTCACGCTTTTACAGTATGGACAATAGTCTATTGATTTGTCTTTAAAAAACTGAATAATTTCACAATTTTTTAAAACGACTAACCTGTAAGGCTTCGCTATGTTCAATCTGTAACACAGACATCTGAGTAACCTCTGCAATTCTTCTCTTCACGCGCTTTAAAACTGGATCTTTATCAGCTTCATCGTTCAGTTCTACCCAGGAGTGTTCGCTGTACCTGGCCTTGTAATATCTCAGGCGGTTCATGTTGAACAACTGGTAGATGAACTCCACAAACTGTGTCCGGTTTACCTTTGTGCAATTCTCGTACGTAATCGCGCGCGCTCCTTCGGGAAGCAATGTTTCATACACAGTCCATAAATCACTCGTACGCACTAGCATTCTCGTGATGTGGTAAACATAACCTGCAAACTCCATCATCGTTATGTTGCCATCCTTATCGTTGTCGTAACGATTGATTCGCTTGCAGTACTTCATCATTAGTTCCTCTGTTAAACTGGCATTCGTTCCCTCCCTCGTGACTCCCTTCGACTTGGCCGCAGTTTCGCTCTCTTTCAAGCCATTCCTTTTCGCTATTTCCACGAAATGATCGCATTCCTCGCTGCTTAAAAAGTCTGGGATTTCAAATATTGGCGGTTTAACGCTCAGGGTTTTAAGCTGCACGCTTTTTTCTTCGTCCACTTGAATGCTTTCCACATGGCCCACAACGACAGCATCTCGTCTGGGTAGCCTGACATCGGAAAACGCTGAATACAGCCGATCTTTAAAGCAAGGATTTTCTTCATCTTCGCCGTGTTCAAAGGCCGAGGGTCCATGTGGAGAACACGTTTCTCCTTTGATAGCTCTCACATCCGGCGTACCGAGTAGTAAAGAAAAATGGCATGCCATAAGAACAACAAAGAAACAGGAGAAGAAGGCCATGGCGCAGCCTAAACCTGCTTAAAGATGGCCTGGATGGACACAGATATCACCTATATGAAGTGCGCTACAATAGCTTGTTGTGTTCAAATTTACTGAGAACAAACATTACTTGTTCTCTAGTCTGCATACTGTGATTTGATACCCGATCCGATCCCTGATGTCGTAACGCCATCTCTCTCTAGTGAAATTTCCTATCGTCCCCCGGCGCACCGCTTTTATCTACTTGAGGGGAAGGTTTGCGGGTCGACTCACATTAATTACTAAATTAAATGCAGGAGTTATTTTTGCTACAGAAAGGAACTTAAGTTCAAAAATATTTTCCGCAATGCATGTTTCGGTGCGGGAATGAAATGTCGATGCGGCGGCGTCACAAGGTTGCGTGATTCTCACGAGAGTGCGAGGCGTACACGCGTGTGACCTGGTGGCTACTCACACAAACCGAGCGTCAAGCGATCCATGTGTTCACAGAGCGAGCCGTCGCGAGGCAAAAAGGTACTATTACTCACGAACTTGTTGCCAAGTTAATTTTCAAAGGAAACCAATGGCAACGAAAAGGTCTTTTTAATCGTTTTATTGATTTTTAAATTTTTAAATTTTTAAGCTTTTATTTTTACATGTAAATCTCGGTCGATCAGAGACTGATAAAAAAGGAATGAAAGTAGGGCAAATAAACCGCAACATAAATGATTATTTACAATTAATTAAGGAAACAAAGTTCGAAGTTGTCAAGAGAAAATATGAAATTGAAAAGCTTATAGCTTCTCAAAGCATCTTAAGCTTAAAACATTTTCAGGCAAAATGGAACCTAGTTTTGAATAACAATCCAATTTTTTTTTTAAAGGAGTAAGTGCTGCTTGTAAATTATGTAAATTTATATGTACATTCATGATAATT